TGAGATAAGAAGGGAGTCGCTGGAGCACATCCAAAGGTTAAAAGAAAGCCCATTGTGGGGAATTACAGTTTCACTAAAACCTGAAAGAAAATTGAAATTGACCAGACCAAAAGTATAATAAAAAGGGGGATGATGAGAGAGGGGGGCCCCAGCAGAGAGGGCAGCCAAGGTCCAGACTTGCACACGGGAAGAGGAGCAGCCTAACGGAAGAACTGTGTAAGGAGGCCCGGATGGATGGAGAGTTTCAAGAAACAGGGAAAATATTAGAATATATTGGTGACGAGAGCAGAGCCATGCTACGGAAGACCTTACTTCAAACGCCAGTCCCCTCCTTCCAACTCTGTCGCCCTGGTTCTGTTAATTCACAAAACCATCCCCTGTTTTTATGCAACACGACAGAGAAAAAAATTGGAACGCGGCGGTGCTTCACACTTCCATGCACCCTGCACACACATTTGCTGCTGTACTTGAAAACTTCCGTTCTGATTGTGTAATCAAAACCATCGGCAGTTACTGCCAGCTCAGTCGAGTTAAGCAAATTAAACTACATGACATCAAAACACGATGCTCTCAGCCAGCATATAATCCCCTATCATCAAACAGTCTGCAGTGAGCATGGATTTTGCAAGTTTCACTATCTCAATCTGTACTTGCCCTGGAACCTTCCCCGGGCTCTGTCTCCATTGTCAAATGAGGGGTTGAGCGATCACCACGGGAAGGGTATTGATGGAGACAGGCCAGGTTAAATGAGTCCCCTTTTCCTAGACTCTGCTGTATAATAGCCTCGTGTCTCCTCTTCAATTTGCTTGCATAAACAGAGCCGGAGGCCAACTGTGAGACTAGTAGATACTCCAAATGTGCCTCAAATAATATTACAGGATTTAAGGTCTTGTCTACAAAGCATATTTGACCCATAACATTCCAGTGCTGAAAGAGAGGGTGGAAAGATTCTGCTCTCACTTCCTTTATTACAGTTAAGGAAACCGAGGCTCGAAGACATCTGTTCATTCGTGTGATTGCACGATGCCACGGAGACCATCCCTGGTGTAAACAGAGGCGAAATACACATGCTCAGGTTCCTCATTCATGCTTTTCCCTGGACATTCCTATCTGGGCATGGGGATCCACTCATCCCAACCGCCAGTTAGCCAGCAGTGATCAGTAGTGATCAGTCCATGCAGGACTCGGGGGAGACAAATAGCCAGAGTGCGCCAGAGCTTGCTCTGGGGTAGGGATTGCACTCAGAGATTGACACAAACTAATCCTACTCCGCCGCCACACTGTGCCTAGGTAGGAGATGGGAGTATTGACCCCATTGTGTTATACGTCAGAGGAAACTGAACATTTTAAGTTGAAATAGCATTCCCCCCAAGTCACACAGCTATTAGGTGTCTGATAGAACTTCACCCCCAACCTGAAGAACATTATGCTCTCTGCCCCACGAGTAATGATTTGGGTATTTCTTTTTCGAGGAAGATATTAACTTGAACACATTCAGTTCAATAAATAGTCATCATCAATTTCTGCTATGTGTTTGGAATTGTGTTTCCTGCTGAGGATGCTTCAGGAAACACAATACATGTATTTCCATAATTGCTATCTAGTAGGGGAGAGGGGCTGCTAAGCTTAGGTTTGCACACATTTATTTAAATGCTAAGAGTACTTGTAATACTGTGTTAAGTACTATGAAATACTATGGATTAATAGGAGCCACGGTAAAACAATATGACAGCAACTTTTTCAGTGGTGTCAGGGAACTTGTCAAGATGAGGTTCGGAATAAGACAGGATTGCAACATGAAAGTGGAAGAGAAGACGTAGAAGAAACAGTGGGTGCGAAGGCTGTGGGCTGGGAGAGACCTGGTGCTCAGGGGTGCAGGAAGCCACTGTGACGCCACGGCACCCCACGAGGAGGGAAAGCAGTGTGCACAATGGGCTGAAGAGAAAAGCAAAGTGTGTCAGGCGCATGCGGGTCCTTTTGGGGGGGTGGCAACAGATTCCCAAGCTTTTCCCAAAGGACGTCACGCAGCTATCGGGAATTTCAGTCAGGGGGTGGGGATTTCACGCTAAGATTTGCGTTTGAAGAATAACTTGATTGCCGTGTAGTAAGGGGATTATGAAGGGGACTTTCCAAGTGCCGTCATTTTGTTCACTGAGGAGTGCATTGTCAACCTGGAATGCAGACGGAGAGGGTTAGTGCGTCTGGCCGAGGCTCCAGGAATCACCACCGTTAAGTATTGTGGGAGGAACTGGGCCTGTTTACTTGTGAGGCAGAGAATGCAGGGAGAGTCCATCGTCTTTAGAAGAGACAGGACAGAGAAAATGAGGCTGACTTTCTAAGGCGACGTATTTCAGCTCTGTAGAGATAGGCTTGAGGGACATGCGCTCTGACATTGTCAGTGTTCCAGCCCTGATGACATTTAAGGAGACGTGACGTATTTCTACCTCTCCCACTGTTGTAGAACTGGTTCCGTGACAAGAACTGAAATTATGACAAGGTGTCTTCCTCCAAAATTGGCTCAAATGCTGAGATGCTTAACTTGCTTGATAAATCTGAATGTCAAATAGCAGCCTATTGCTAGGGATGAAATAATGTACTTTCCTTGTGTATTTAATTCAAGATGAAATTTTAAAATCTTATTCACCACGTAAGGGCTATTTTGCCTTCAGAAACTCTGATGGAATGTTTTATGCAAAAGTCACCACTGCTTTATTCAGCTTGGGGCTTACTCAGAACTAGTAACCAGCCCAAGAATTTCCCACAGACCGGTGAAACGGAGTTGCCCTTTAAGATGTATCTTATTTTTCTCCTGTTTGTTTTCTACCCGTAATCATGCAAATGTTGTAATTAATAGTCTTTCTATCATTAACTTTAAGAAACATTAGAAATTCAAATTCAAAGTAAAATTTTTCTCCCTCTGCTTTGGTTCACTTCTCATGACCTCCCACTTGACCTGTTTCGCTCTTCCCCGATCCATCCTTCCTCCCACTCCCACCGGTACTTTGTGTCCGTATTATTAATAGAGGGAACTTTCTAAGACGTACATACGTCCGTGTCATTCCCACATTTAAGAAGCACATACCTAGACTATTTCTTCTTAGTGCTGACAATGTCAAGTCTGTATGGTTTTATCTTGACATAAATCACCCTTTGTCATTTTTGTCTAAAGTACCCAATCGTCCCCACATACATCCCTTATTTTTTTTTTACTTATTATAATGGGTGGGTAGGGGGGAAGTGGTGGCAGGAAATCGGAGACAACTGTACGTGAACAAGAAAAAAATTATTAAAGTTACTTGGGGCTACTTGTTATTTATTTTTAAACAGAAAAAGGAGCTGCCATAAGAGGAATTAGTTCAAATACAAGTAACAGTTATTTGTAGTAGCTTTAGTATTTCAGTGTTAGTTTTAGTTACAGGAAAAGCACTGCCTGCCACGTAGGGACCTCATATAAACCAAATGTTTTAAGAGGTCATTTATATATCTGACTTTAATTAATTTTATTATTTCTTTATTCGACATAGTCTTATTAAAGGCCACTCTCAGGCTTTGGTCCAGGAAGCTGAGCGAAAGCAGCAAACACACAATTCATGTCTCTGTTTCCATCCAGGCACTTATACTCCAGTGAGCCCTGGTGTTCATTTTACAGGGATCAGTGTTATGAAACCCCTTCCCTTTCCACCTTCTTTCCTGTCCCAAGGTCTGCACAAACATAACTTGCCTCGCAAAACGGTATAAATTCAACACTTTCTTCCTAGGCACCTCCAAATACAAACCCAATTTCTTAAGTAAGGGCCATGCATTACTATGCCTGCTCAGAACAGTTCCTGCATCAAAAAAATAGACATATGGGATTTTAACCTTGCTTCGATCCGGGAACCTATATTGTCAAGGAGGCACGCCACCTGGACCCCGTCTTTGAAGCCTCACCTCCACCATCTGCATTCATCTTAATGCCAGGCCATCGGTGCGCCTCTGCAAGCGGAGACCATTTCATTCTTAATATAGTCGGGGAGCCCAGAGCACTGTTCACCCGGGGAATGCAAGAGTGCGGCACCGGGAACTTTCCGGAGAGAGGAACAAAGCCCAGCGCCAGCCCCCGGTGAGCGTGTCAAAGGCAGACCGTGAGGCGGTGAGAGAAGGGGCCGAGTGGCAGCCGAGAGGAGGCCGAGTGATTGGCAAGGTCAGGCTATCTGCGGAGATAGCATTTGAGCCCCGCTCCATTGACACTTCAAAGCTGCGATAAGCCAAAGGGCTGGGAGAGAGGGGAACATCAAAGAGTCAACCTTTTTCTTAGGGGAAGCCTGGTGAGGAGAAGAATCACTCACAGGGAAGGACTTACATAAGAGGGAAGAGCACCATACAAGGAATCGAGGGGAGAGAGAAAATATTTTTAAAGCGCCTATAATTTCATCAGTTTTACGAAAGGATTCACCGCAGGTGTGTGCAGGAGGGACGCATTTTCAAAGTACCCAAAGGGAATATAACCAGCTAATAATAACTATTGCTCTTTAGTAATTCTCATCAGGCAGTGCCTTTCAAACATGATTGTTGAAGCAGAGTCACCTGGTAAATTTGTAAAAAAAAAAAAAAAGAAAGGGGAAAAACGATGGCAACCACCTCCCTGACCATTTCTCTGTGTGTATCCAGCCAAGACCTGGGAGGCTCGGGCTCAGAGCTGGGCCCTCTCAGCGGGCTTCCCCCAGCAGGAGGCACACCTTCTTCTGCAGGGATAGACTCTCTGGTTCTTCCTGGCCTGGCTTGTGCCCACACTCCCTCTGAGCTGCATATGTATCCTGCCTCCCGGTATTTTTCCCCTGTGGACTCCTCACTGAAGCTGCCCAGACATGTCAGCTGACACCGACTCTTGTCCTTCCATTCTCCATAAAGTTAAACGCGCCCTTCTCTGCCTGCAATACCTTCCGAGCCTCTTTCCTCTTCCTTTCAAAAATCCGACTGAGAGTCAGTCACTGTCCCTGGGAAGTCCCCAGTGATCATACCGGGTGCTGCGGTGGGCAGTCTCTGCACGTACTCCAGGAGCTCCGCGTGTGATAGAGTCAGCTGAAAATCTCAACAGTTCTTCTCGTGGTGGGTTGTGCTAATCCACGGGATGTGTGTCTTTCATCTGTCTGGTGAAGTCTCGTGAAGGGTCTGCTTGCTTCCAGGCAATATACTAGCCAGGAACTACATGTAGCGTCTGGTGAGGGAGAGGAACGGAGAACAGTTACTATACAAGGTGGAACAATGGCTGTGCTAGGGGAAATGCAGGATGCCACAGCACAACGCCGCAGGATCCCAAACATACTGGACTTCTCTGACACACAGTCAAGAATTGAATGTTCATTGGACTCCATATAGGAGCGAAACCATGTGGTATTTGTTAACAGTCAAACTGGACTAACAAGCAAAATACAGACAGACTCATAAATAGAGAGCAGGGTGACAGCTCTGGGGGAGGGTTAGGAGTAGGAAGGGATTGAACAAAAAGAAAAAAGGACTCATGGGCAAGGGTGTGGTGATTCCTGGGGAGAGGATACAAGGGGACTAAATGGTAATGGAAAAAAGGCAATAAAAAATAAACCTGAAAAAATAAAACTGTGTCCTTTATAATACCATCAAATCTGATACATCACTCCTATTTTTTTACTTGACAAACTCCTAAGAGCAATTAACAAGCAAATACATTAATCAGTCCAAGAATATAATTAATGTTTTAAGAAATGGCCTGGTCAATGGCTAATGAATGGTCCAGACAGACAGTTCTGAGGAGGGTGGGTGAACATAGGTACCTAAATGTTACATAAACATATAAATAGATGTCATCTTAAAACACATCTAGGTCACAAAAAACAAATGTGACTGCAGTTTGAATGCTCTGACCCTACAATAGCAGAAAGTCTGAAGTCCAGTCACATTGTGTCTTAGTTTTATAATCATATTATCTTAGTTTCCTTCGATTATTATGAGAATAACAACTGCTGGATTTAAAAAGTTTAAGGAAGTTCCAGAAGAAAAGTAAAATCATTTACTGTCAAATGATCTACAGGTAATCATTAGTATATTTTTCAACAATTTATGAATTATTATTGTTTATTTTTCAATATGCATGCATTTCTATATTTCATTCTTTTTAAAATTAAGATACTCTTAAATCTTGTCTGCTTTTTTACAGTTTAGTGTTTGGCAATTTTGCGACAGATTTTTCATAGATAAGATTCTAATAACTTTATTGTTTTCTATACTGAGGATTGATAATTACTTAATTCACCATTATCTTTTTAGTGTTTTCAACTTATAAGTCAAAACACATTCTAAATTAAAGTTGCTGTGAACATCTCTGTTATGCAATAACAGATTTACACGTGGGCATTTTCCAAACAGAGGCTGCTGGAAGGAGAAGGACTGAAAACGAGATAGACTTCAACTTGGAAGAATTTTTGTCCAGTTCTAATTCGCCTGTGTTTGGTGTAGAATTGGGCATTGAAAGCCACTCCAGTTTCTAATTTTCAGCTTCCTTGCACCCTCACAGCCTCATCACTGTGAGTTTGTTGCCTTACTGAATTTCCAGTTCAACCTAACAGGGGCCCACTACACAAATACTCTTATGTGGTATGCTTGTTTGTAAAGATAACCTCGATCAAAATGGGGTATGTTTGTTTATAAAGATAACCTCGATCAAAATGTGGCCCATGTTTTAACAGAATGATTCTTAACATTATTCTAATTAAGTACGCAGCATTGACCAAGTTATCAAGAGTAGAACTAATGTGTCTGGTGAAAATAGAAAGGATGGCCAAACCAAAGTGTCGCAGGTTCGATTCCCAGTCAGGGTACATGCCTGGGTTGCAGGCCGTGACCCCCAACAACTGCACATTGATGTTTCTCTATCTCTATCTCCCTCCCTTCCCTCTCTAAAAGTAAATAAATAAAATCTTAAAAAAAAAGAAAGGATGGCTAAGCTCAATGGTCATCACTCCTGGACTGCAGTGTTGCTGTGGCCCTCCAATAGTATTTATTCTGAATAGTAAGTAGAGGCAGTTAATGAGGGAAAAAAACAAAGAAGATACCTCTGGCTTCTTATCCTCGGATTAATTAGCTCCCCTGCAAATCAAAATTAGAGCGTTCCCCTCTGCAAACCAACTTGTTGCTCACTTCTATCACGAATACCAGAAAAACACATTCAAATATAATGTATCATCTTGGGCTGCACCACCCACTGCGGGCCTGGAGCCTGAGACTCTGCCCTGTAATAAATGTCTCCCAGGTACCTCTCACGCATACTGAAGTTTGATAACGACTACTCAAAGGCCATAAGATCTCCTGTCATTCAACCGTATTTGAATAAACGACTCCACTTAGATCATTCTGATGGTTTTGCACCGAACTAGGAATTTTGAAATGTCAGGATTGCTTTGAAACCTTATTACTTCTTTCACTGCTCAGAAACTGTTTAAACAGATAAGACAGAAGGCTTCTCCATATGGTGGGGTGTGCATGTGCAGGTTAGGAGTAGAGAGGGACGATCCCTAATATATCCTTGTCTGCACCCCTAGTGCCTGGCATGAAGCCTGAGGCATGGCAGGTACCCAGTTATTTGAAAGCCAGTGACTGTCCTCTAAAGAGGGAGATTGGGGAGGTAAAGCTTAGCTCCTGAGTGAAGCCTTGAATGGCCCTCAATAATAAACTCTGCAGTCTTTTCCTGATGGGAATGGGAAGCAATTCCTTCACAGGCTTTCTGTAGGAGGCCAGATACCTATACGCAGACATCAGTGTAGCTGTGTAGCATAGTTTGTAGCATCAAACTACTGAGATGGGCTCTTTTGTTTGTTTCGTGTGCAGGATCGCTGCAAACCGCTAGATGGTGCTGCTGGCTCATGACTGAGCAGCCACAGCCCGCCAAGGCAGAGGGGAGAGCTCTGACCTCCAAGGAGGAATCCTCTCTGCATTTGCGGCTCTGCCTCTTGCCAGTTTGCAGGAAGCCGTATTTTAAAATGCTTCCTTCCACTTGGCCAATTCCAATCACCTTTCCTTCCTACTCTCGCCTCATTATCTTTGATTTCAAATTAAGGAAACTGTTTTTAAGATATTCTTAATAGAATTTTTAATTACGTTTATGCTCTTTTTATTTGTGGGATGCATAGTGGGAAAGTAGAGCTAACCGATCCATGTTAGGAAATAAAAACACTGTTTCTACCTGGAAATGTTCCCTGTTGAACTCCATACTTACGGAGCTCAGTACTGACACACTCCATACATAACTTCATCCGTAAGACGTGCTCTTTCCGAGTCCAACTGAAGTCACTGAGAAAGGAAACAGCCGGACACTAAAAATACAGTGTTAGGGACCTGGAAACAAACACTCAGGGTCGAAGGGTTGGAAAATATGCGGCATGGGCACACCTGCTCATCCTGTCATTCCCAGGACGGACACCAATATCCTTTCACGGTGTTGTCCTCCAGTTGCTCCACCTGGGAGCAGAATCCATTCCCAACGTAGACAGGAGACAGGTAAGTGCCTGCAGAGACTTTAAATCAACCACCAACCCTGATCTAGGATAGTGCCAGAAAAAAAAATGTAAAGTCAATAAATGGGAAGCAAAAATAAAGGAGGGTGTCGAGTACGGGGGAATCAGAAAATCTGCTTTGCTGAATCCGGAAAGATTCTGAAATTCAACGAGGGTCCTGAGGAAACACCTGGGCATATACCAGCAGTCCAGGCACATGAACGAGTAAGTTCAGAGCAGACAATACTGTTTTCTCCTATGCAGGTATTTACCAGGGACAAAAAGGAACAGACCCATTCCTGACCAATACTATTCCCAGAGATTTTTTTTCTCCAAAAGAGCATCAAAATCAAATGACTTAATCTAGAATCGTATTTTATTAGGGGAGTTATCTTGTTTCCCCCTCTTCCCTTCCCATTTTCTACATTAAGTAAGTTACAGTGTATTTACATGTAAGTTACTCACTGTATATAAACAGGCCAGAAGCTTCCTGAGCATCCTCAGGCCACAGGAAAGGCTCTCCAATCAGCCCCGGAGATCCAGCCACTCCATCTGTGTCCTGCCCTCTGGGCTTAGGTGACATCACTGATTGTTCATTCACAGGCCTGCTCATCCCATCACCACTACACTCTGGGCACAATTGCTCATTGTCTCCTACTGATTAGAATGCTGCAGTTTATAAACGGGTGATGCAAAAGAAGAAATTAGACCAAGGCCATTCCTCGCAGGTAAATTTTTCTAGTTGCTTGACTGCTGGGTCATCAATCTTCTGTGGAATATCTATCCCCTGTCCACTTACTCGAGGGATTTTTAAAGTGACTTCCTACACTGAAAACTAGACAGAACTTGGTGTATGTTCAGTTCTAAAGTGCAGCTGAAATATCACTTTTTTTCATGACATAAGTATCTAATTTGCTCTACAGTTGTCCTTTCTGTGGAAACTATAATGTGTGCTTCAAACACTCCCAACTGACATACTAAAAAGGTGAAGTAGGAAGTCTGGGTGTCAATATATCAAGTTTGTCACCCGTCAAGCATGCAAGCTGGCTCGTGGCCATTCATTGCTCATGGGCACAGACTCAGACAGTGCCAGGGCTGTTAAATCTTCTGTATACCTTGGGACCAGCGTGCAGAGTTAAAGCCGTCTGCAAACACTTGCTTTCGTAAGGACCTCCTCTTGAGAGGCAAGGAAGACGGATCATGAAAGGAGACGTCACACAGTAGGAGAGAAGAAGAAAAGTGCTTTCTTAACTTCCATCCAGAGTGTGACCCACATTATTCTCACATCCCCCGAGGGGCAGGAATCGTGTCTGCGAACCCTGGTGTCTCACCGAGCACGCGACATGCACCCGTGCACAAAGCAGGTGCTCGTACATAATTATTGCAACAGGGGCAGCGTTCACACGATCCTGAAGGACTAGGGAGGCGGGGAGTAATTAAAGTCTGAAAAGAATGGGGAATCTGAGAGGCAGAAAAAGTTGCATTGATGAGGATAGGTTCCCAAAGCCTCCTTATTTCCATTGGTATTTACCTGTCAGCCCAACATGTGGCAAAACTGTCTGAGATCCGGCAGATGAGTTCTTCTCAGGTGCAGGTAGGCTAATACAACATTTTTTCTTCCATTAAATGATGAAAAAGAGAAATGATTTTTATTTTATTTATTTTTTTACAAATACAGGGTG